TTTTGTTCACGTCTGTTTTGCCAACAGGACCGCATAAGCGATAATGTGTTAAATTAGATTATGATTTAGAGTTAGCATTAATTTTGCTGGGAGACAGTAAAGAAGATAAAATGAAAAGAGCTCAAGTCTTCAGATTGTCAACGAATTAGGGTGTGTGGTGCACCAATTATTTTATTAAGGATTTGGTTTCTCTGAGGTTTTATTTATACAAGGGCCCATTCAAGGCAATGAAACCCAGGAAAAGGGCAAAATACTATTATATTTGAAGAACTGGGGTGGAATTGCTTAGAATTGCTTGTCTGGGAAGTCGATAATTCAGAATTGGATACCATTTGAAGCTTTTCTGATTCGTCTATTTATAGAAGAGAAAATCTCTTAAAATATAATAAGTTCAGGATGCGTGGTATATTCTGAGAGGCTACTGACATGTATGGAGACACGTTTCCAAGCAACTTGCCCTACTTGGGCAAGTGTCTTACCCTTTGTGGCGATAGGAACCGGTTTTGGGAGGCAATCCCTTTTACACATTAGTGCTGGGCTGAGATCGACGAGGAAGAGGTCTTGCTTCTGACATATGTCGGCATGATTACTTCGTATCTTAGAATGATGTCGACATGTAGGAGAGAGATGTCATGAGGTCGACGTCCTTTGTCTTGACCGAAGTACTTCTCAGTACCTTGGCTTCGAGGATATCGTCAATGTCGTGGCTTGTTTTAGTGGTTTAATTCAAGGCAGTAAATTTTGAGTATCAACAATCAACATCAACATCAAGTGTGTTATTATAAACATTGTTTGTTTTTTCGAGACATAAAAAATAATGCATCATGTTAGTGAAGATTCTCTAAGAGGAATTGAACCCAATCTTATAAAAATAAACACCCATAAACTTGAAAACATTAAAAGTGAATTCTCATAATGAGTAGTCCAAATAATACATAAAGAAATATGATTTGAACACCTAAAAAATATATACTTTGGATACTTGTTAGGGGAATTTTTTCAATGTTATTCGTGAGAGCATGTGGGAAGTCTTTGCAAGTAATCATAATCGATGGAGCTGAATACATTAGACTGTTAATTTTAATGTAAAATTTTTTTATATCACGGTAACATTTTTACGGTAATAGTTAAAGTCTCTGTCTGTACACAAAGAACCAACTAACTACGATTTTAGAATGCCAATAGAAAGTAGCGTTTTCTCTAATAAAAGAGGGATAAAGGTTGATGAACCGGTCCAGTTTTCCGGCACCGAATAACTCTCTGAAATACAGTAGTCGCCGTGAAAATTTCCGGCAATTCCATTGAAAATATGAGCTGACGATCCATGCTCCGCATCAATTCCGGTTGAGATTCGTTTCCTGTTGATTCAAGCTCCGGATTTTAGTTTCTACGTCAGACGAAGCTCATAAATGGACATACTGTTTGCTCAGATCCAAGCGGATCTCCGGTCCAACGACGCGCTCCGGCAATCCGGCGCATTGCTGCAGGCGCTGCAACAATCCGCCGCCGGACGGGATATCTCCGTCATCGCAAAATCCGCCGTTGAGGAGATAGTTGCTTCCCCGGCCTCCGCCGTCTCCAAGAAACTCGCCTTCGACCTCATCCGCTCGACCCGCCTCACGGCTGATCTGTGGGAAACTGTGTGCACAGGCATTCGTAACGATCTCGATTTCCCGGATCCTGACGTCACTGCGGCTGCCATCTCAATCCTGGCCGCCATCCCTTCCTACCGCCTTGGCAAACTCATTAATGACTGCAACAAAGAAATCTCCGCCTGCTTCGATTCGGTTAGTGATAATCTCCGGTTCTCGATAACCGAAACCCTAGGCTGCATCCTTGCGCGAGACGATCTAGTGACATTGTGCGAAAACAACATTAATTTGCTCGATCGTGTCTCCAATTGGTGGACCCGCATTGCTCAAAACATGCTTGATAAATCCGATGCAGTTTCGAAGGTCGCATTTGAATCCATAGGCAAACTTTTTCAGGAATTTGAAACGAAAAGGATGAGTCGGCTAGCTGGGGATAAGTTAATCGATACTGAGAACTCAGTTGCAGTCCGATCAAAATGGGTTTCATCAATGGTTGATTTTGTTTGGAAGAAGCGAAATGCATTGATGTCGCGGTCATTAATTCTACCCGTAGAAAGTTTTAGAGCTACAATTTTCCCGTTGGTTTATGCGGTTAAGGCAATGGCTTCAGGTTCAATAGAGTCAATCAAGAAGCTATCTTGGTCCACAAATAGTAGGAATAATACAGCGACTGATATCAGTAATGCTGAGAGCTTTGTAGGAGTGTCAGATGTGGTGTCACATTTAGCTCCATTTCTGGTGTCTTCTTTGGACCCTGCTCTGATATTTGAAGTGGGGATTAATATGCTATACTTGGCCGATGTTCCTGGAGGGAAGCCTGAGTGGGCCTCTATATCAATTATAGCAATTCTCACGCTTTGGGACAGGCAGGAATATTCTTCTGCACGTGAGAGCATAGTCAGAGCTGTTGTTACTAATCTGCATCTCCTTGACCTTAGTATGCAGGTGTGTTGTAAATTTTGAGAATTTGATTGGTATATTTTACATAATGGCTGCTTAAAATCATTTTCTTGTGAAGTAACAAAAAAAAAAGTTGTTTTTTGAGAATATTGTGTTGCACAAGCTCTGGTTTTGATGACTGTTGTGGACTTGAATATTTCCATGATTTTGTATACAAGTTAAAGTGAAAGAATATGTCCCACTTTGATCGTAACAATTAGATCATCATCCAGTGTGGAAGTGAAATGTATCTTAGCTCACGCTTTATTTCTTATGGAATAACCACTTCATATAAGACCTGAGGGGCTTAAGGTGAAAAACTTATGCCCTCTTATTTATGTTAAATTAGTTCATGCTTTATGCATTTCTTTTTTTCAAGTTAGGCGGTGTTTCCAAATGTTACTTTTCAACTAGTTATGAATAAGTTTTCAGATTTCATGTCTTAAATATTTGTCCCTGTGACATGTTGATCTGAAGTTGCGATAGACACATTTTTTTATGTGGTCTGTGTTCAATGTTGTAGGTATCACTGTTCAAAAAGCTGCTTCATATGGTGAGGAACTTGAGGGCAGAATCAGACCGAATGCATGCTTTGGCGTGCATCTGTCGAACTGCCCTCTGTGTTGATCTTTTCTCGAAGGAGAGTGTTCGTCGTGGTCAAAAGCCAGTTTCAGGTACTGATATAGCTTCCCTATTTGAAGATGCGAGAATAAAGGATGACCTCAACAGTGTAACCAGTAAGAGCTTGTTTAGAGAAGAATTAGTGGCAATGTTGGTGGAGAGCTGTTTTCAGTTGTCCTTGCCGCTGCCTGAACAGAAGAGTTCAGGTATGGAAAGCAGAGTGATTGGAGCCTTAGCCTATGGTACTGGTTATGGTGCTTTGAATTGGACAGAACCAGCGTTGGAAGTGGTGGAAGTGTGTAGGCCATGTGTTAAATGGGATTGTGATGGTCGAACATATGCCATTGATTGTTATCTGAAGTTGCTTGTTAGACTTTGTCACATTTATGATACACGAGGGGGTGTCAAAAGAGTTAAAGACGGGGCTTCTCAAGATCAGATACTGAACGAAACACGATTACAAAATCTTCAACGGGAACTTGTCAAGGATCTTCTCGAGGTTTGTTGTAATTTGTCATTCGTCTTTTCCCTTTTGAGAGCCTGAACACTAGAATTCTATCATGAAACAATATTAAATGTTTCATTTAGTTAATTGGTATTATTAGAGGTACTTGTGTAGCCATCCATAGTTATAGATAGGGGTCTGTGTTTGACATCTTGCAAGTCCCTAGGTTGGTTATGGCTTAGACAAGGAACTAGTTTTATTAGCATTTCTTACTGTATACACATTAAAGTCCAATTTTTATTTTGCAGGTTAGCACCCCTAGAATTAGTGCCCGCCTTCTCTGGGCTATTTCAGAGCACATTAATTTGGAGGGGTTGGACCCCCTTCTTGCTGATGACCCTGATGATCCGTTGAATATAGTTATATCAAATATCCATAAAGTTCTATTTAACATTGACTCGGCCGCGAACACTACAAATAGGCTTCAAGATGTTCAAGCAGTTCTTTTATGCGCACAGCGGCTGGGATCACGAAATGCTAGGGCTGGGCAGTTGCTGATTAAAGAGCTTGAAGAATTTAGAAGCAATCCCTCTGCTGATTCAGTCAACAAACACCAGAGCCGTTTAATACTACAGAGAATTAAATATGTTGCTAGTCATCCAGATGATAAGTGAGAATTTTATCCTACACACGCAATAGAATTGAGCAATGAATAAAATGCATTGATTTGGTTACAATTATTTGCTGCTCTGATGCTGCTAAATTGCAAACAAATAATTTTGTTTCGCATTCACATTTAATTGGTCTTACGCAGAAACAAAAAATAAATAGATAGAAATATAAGTGTGTGGTGTGTAAGGATTTTGATTCATGGGCATATTACATCTATGCATTTATTTGGTGCTCTAAAACTAAATATTTCTGTAAAAGTGAAGAAAAATAACTGGACATTATTTCATCATGGTTCTTCCCCTATATTCCATCTGATAATATAGAGCACGTAAATACATTATGTCCTCTCATACATGCCCATATGACATCAATACATCATGGCTCACATGTGGTGCTCTAAAGCTACATATTAATTTACAAATGCAGAGAAAAGTTACAGGATGTTTCTTCATCTGAGACTTAGTTACAGAGCACATGAATGCAATATGTCTTGCCCAATCCCTTTAAGTCTTATTTAAAAGTCCTTTAAGCACTGAATAGTACCTAAAGTGTGTATAAACCTATGGGTTGTACAATTTAGAGCAATCCATGTAGGTGGGCTGTACTGATAAGCTTACTTATTTACACTGCATGATCGTTGCTTGTTTGGTATCCTGAAACCTGCTAGTTTAATGTCCTGGAGTAGACTTTCTCACTCTAAAATCTATCTGAGGCAGTATGAGGAACTCTCTCGTTGTTTAGGTTAATTGGCTTCGCATGCTTTAAATTTTCAGTGACTTGTGAAAGCACCATCATCTTAGTACCAAAAACATGTTTTGTTGTCAGTAAAGCATGACAAAAAGCAATGGCTTGCAGTATAAATTTATCTAATGGGCTTGTTATTTTTTTCTGCTGCTTCAGTTACATGATGTTGCTCTCTTTTCATTTTCAGATGGGCTGGGGTTAGTGAGACTACCGGAGACTACCCATTTAGCCACCACAAGCTAACAGTTCAGTTCTATGATGCATCTGCTGCTCAGGACCGAAAACTAGAAGGGTTGATTCATAAAGCAATTTTAGAACTGTGGAGACCAGATCCCAATGAATTAACTCAATTGTTGACGAAAGGTGTTGACTCAAGTTTGATCAAGATCCCTCCAAGTGCATTGACTTTGAGTGGTAGTAGTGATCCTTGCTATGTTGAAGGGTATCACTTGACCGATCCAAATGATGGAAGGATTACTCTGCATTTGAAGGTAACCTGTTTGTAGCTATCCATGGTAATGCCCTGAGTAGGGTTCTAATTGAACAAACTAATGTTGGACAGCTCGTGTTTTGGCTATAAATTTCCATTGAATCATTACATGCTCAAATTTAGCATCTTGATTTTGGCTGAGGTCAGTATCTTTTGTGTTGACTAGTGCAGCTTGCACCCTCCCAAGTAACGTAATTTGCTATAAGCGGTTTTCCAAATAATGATTGTTAAAGATACTAGTAAACCACTGGTGGTCATTACCACACGTGAATCCAAAAAATGCAACCTTTTTTCAATTTAGATTTAGATTGTCATGGTGATTCCCAAAACAAAGGATTCAATTTTTTTAACGAAAATATGAATGTTTCCACTTTCAAAGTGAAGAAATCAACTGTGGTTGCTAGTCATTGCATTCTATCCAATATAATCATCTCCCTTTATTTTGGTGAACAATTGTAGATCAGCATCACATCCTTTCCTTGCCATTCTCTTTTGTGTTATCCACCCTCATTTGTCGGTATAAAGTGGCAACAAACTTGTTCTTGACACACCCATCTCCTAATCCCCCTTATATCTGGCAAATGCTTGTAGATTTTTCCATGTCCACATTATAGCATGCTTTGGATATATTGAATCTCATCAAATGGGTTAACTATTGCAGGTTCTGAATCTTACAGAAATTGAATTAAATCGAGTAGACATCCGAGTTGGTCTATCTGGTGGGTTATACTTCATGGATGGGTCACCTCAAGCAGTGCGCCAGTTGCGTGATCTTAATTCACAGGTAAACCGGACATGCTACTTTCGTTGTAGCCGCAATTGATAAATTTCACCTTATATAGTTCAATCCTCCAAATTCTATGCAATTATGTTTACTGTACTTTTTTCGCTAGTTTTCTTTGTTAAATGGAGTATGGTGAGGTGTTCATTGATGACTTCTTTGC